CCATTATCCCATTGATTACTATAATTATAATATATTTTTTAATTCATTGGGATCTTTTTGGGTTCAAAACCCTAAAAAAAAATTTGGATCATTTCAAGGTCTGTTTGGGTGTTGTCCCAGGATTGGGGATGACTTCAGTGGTCAGGATCATTTTGGGATCCATCCCCCACATTGCATGAATGCAATGTGGGGGATGGAGGCAACATGAGAGGAAATAACCACGCCCAAGAACTCAACACTTTGAATTGTCCTTGGCTCATACCCAGACATTTAGAATCACAAGTCCAGACTGTCTCTGAGGGCATATCACTGATTGTGTTGGCTGAACACTATAAAGTGTTAATAATAACATAAAACTATGACTTTTCCTTTATGTTCTTCTTACCCGTGGTGTGAAAAAGTAATATCTTCTTATTGGAAGGTAGTCACTGAATATCACTCCTGCAAATAAATAAAAGGTAGTTCAGTAATTTTTAACTTCATTTTTTTCCTTATTTCTACTGAAGCACACTTAACAATTTTGGAGCTTTAAACTTTTCATTCATTTAACACTTTAACTCCCATGAGTGACCAAGACAAAATTTCTCCTTGCATTGTCAGTACTATATCAACCAGACAAGTAATGAGAATAAAGAAAAATAGTAATTGGGGGATTATTGATTGATCCAATACCAAATTCTCGAAGCTAACATTAAAAGAACTGTATGGCAGACAGTAAGGAGAACTACTCATGAGATCTTGCAAGTTAAAAGGTTTGACAGAGGGCCACAAGGTTAAATAACGTAAAAATGGTAGTCATAATCAAAATAACTATAATTATGTCACCTGGGCTTTCAATAAGATAGGGTCTATTCAAAGGTCTATTGACAGTCATTTTGTCAATATATTTCTGTCTGCTGCTGTTTGCTTCCTGCATCTTTTCCTTATGGCCCTTTCCATCATGAAATGGTGATTTTTTGCTGACCTTTGTTCTTGCTTGTATGACCAGAGCTGAGGTTAACATTGATTCATGTACTTTGAAGATTGGTGCAAGACTGCATGACTGTGAAAAGAACCATTACAATCCATTAGGAAAGCTTTTAGGCAAAAGAAACGGGCCAACTTTTCTTGCCATAAATAATAAAAAGCTTAACTTCATTTATCCTCATTAATACAAAATTTGTTCAGATAATATAAGTTATTTCCATCAGTAAAAAAAAATTACTAATTGAGAGTAGAAGCCAGGGATGGTGTGGTAAGAGAAACTTGAGTTGTAACTATAGAATACAGAGCCGCCAATATCCACTTTGCCAGCAGTCTTCGCAGAATAAAGAATAACACAATATCAACTCGATCTAATAATTAAAAAAGATATAAATAAGTGGCCCTTTAATGTATAATTTTGCTGACTCCTCATTGAAACTTCTGGATTCCCACTGTTCCTTGCGATGTTTTTGTTAGGGAGATACGTGACGTGGGGCGAGCTCAAACAAATTGGGGTTGACGTGACTCGGGGGCGATAGTGACGAGGCAATGGGGCGATGTGACCTCTGAACTGTCAGTATAGACCAAAAATGTGGCGGGGAAATTACATCATCCAAATCCTCAATATTGACAACAAAGAAAATCAGTTACTTGAAAAATATTAATAGGAAAACTGAGTTAGATTGTTAGATTATTCTTCAAAAAGGAGCACAATCATGGTTATTTTTCCAAGTGGGCCCGCTTCACTGAAAAATAATCACGCTTTTATATTTTATAGAACTAAGCGACTAATACCACGATTCGAGAAAGCTGATCAAACTTACGATCAACAAACCTTAACTCTGGAACAGGCGAGAATCCTTGTAGCCGCCATGTTGGTTGCTCCGCCACCAGGCCTTTACAACTCTGAACGTGCCATTTGGCTCGTCCCAGGCGTCTCCTGCACGTCAAGGCTGAAACGGAAAGTCACAGATGACGTCCCATATGGGATAAATTTAGCTACATTATTAAGATAAATATCCGTCACCGGAGATTTGAACGATCAGTTCTAACAGAAGCGAAGTGTTACGGCTGTTTTAAATAACCCTTGTGATAAATTCTTACCAGTCAACGTTGCTCCGAGATTTGCGACGAAAACATTCCAATTTGCTAGGAAAATGGTTCTCTCTGCGATAAGAAAAGCCCCAGAGGTGAGTGCAGGTATTGATTATGTAGCCGGGAGTTGCTCCTCCCTGAACGTGCAATTTTGCACGAGCCTATCACTTTGAAAGCATTTTAGCGATAAATATCGTTTAAGGAAAGTTTTTGCGAAGTTTCTGGGGTAGAATGTTTTTCATTATTTATTTCAATTTTGTTTCCATTTCATAAAAAAAAAAACTAAAAATTGACGAAAACAGGAAATCGATGTGAAAAACTGCTTTTTCGCAAAGATATAATTTGTCACAGGAAAAAGAACTGAGGGAAAATGAAATCTTCGACGAAACCTGAAATAATGAATATTGTCAGTTTACGAGAAACATATCAGTAAGACTTTCCAAACATAAAATTGAGAACATAGGCGAACGATCCATTCCTCCCCGAGAAACGGCCTCGGATTTAGGCCGGTTTCCATTTCAAAGCGGGTGGTAAAGCCAAGAGTTTTGAATAAGCAAGCAGTCTAATTTTAAACACTTTTAAAAACATCCAATGGCATGTCTGATTATTTCAGATGAGAGAAGATTGCGAAATTGACGTGACATTCCGCACGTTTCTTGTATCAGATTCCTGGAAACTGAGACATTTTACAGAGAGGATCCCAACTTCCTTGTTAATATTGGCATCAACTGAAAAAATAACTTCTACAAAAAATTGGGTCTTTACGTAGCTGTCATAGCAATATTCCTGTGTAGTCTCCGATAGCACTTTGGCTACTTTTTGCAGACACGGAATTATGTCGTGTTTTATATGTATTTTATGTAGCTCTGTGGATTGATGGTTTCATTTATCATTTCATTTTCGTCATTTTCTTTTCAGGTAATCCCTCTCTTGGTGATTATGGGAACTGCGACTACTGGAGCTACGGCTTTTCTGATAAGACAAGCCACGAAAAACCCTGAGGCATGGTATGCGACTCTCATTTTTTTTATCCGAAACTGATCAATAGAGCACTTCCCAAGGTTTCGTCTGACGCTTGACGTGATGTATGGATTGCTACAGCTTTATTTTTCAATCATAACTGTTTTTTTTCTTTTTGACAGCTGGGACAAGAAAAACAACCCCCATCCATGGCTTAATATCAAACCAGATGAACAAGTGAAGGTGAACAAGCAGAATTCTTGCAGTCTATTTTTATTTCAGTGGAAACGTCGGGAAAAAGTATTATCATAAAATTTACTTGCTTTAAATTAATGTCATGATAAAGATGAAACATCAAATCCTTGGTGAGTGATATCAGAGAGCCAAATTAAGAAATTAAAATTGTCCTTGATGATTTTCATCGGGAGAAAATGGAGTCGCGTTCTTTTGCTTTACAGCGCTGGTCTTATACTTACAGTCAAGAGAAAGTCCATTATTTTCTCTCGCTATATTTCAATATATTTATTAATTCGTGTATTTTTTTCACTATTCAACCGACAGCTTTACAAACCTTCACATCCCTCAGCCGCTGATGGAAAACGCTGAGAACGTGGATTGTGATGGAGAAAACAATACAAAGGTCCGCGGAAAACTACTATAAGTTTAATGTTGCAAGAAAAATTCAACCGTCCAAATGTATTATATATTTAAATCATGATGATAATTTATATCAGGACCATAAATGTTATTTAATGGTAGGAACGTCCAAAAATATGCGAATGCAGCATGAAGATGCACGAGGGTCTCGATTGGGTCAGCTGTAAAACGGCTAAAAAATTTAGCCGTAAGGTGTAAATATTGACAAACTTCAACCATTAGTCTAGAGAAGAAAGTTCACCGTGAAAAAAGAATTTTGAGTGACAACAATGGAAAGATACTAACCGTTAGCCGTGAATTGGCCAAAATTTTAATTGTTGGCCGTAAAAGCCGTCACTCCATTGAGACCCTCATGTACGGTCACTTTCAGAGAAAAAAAAACTGTATCCTGTCGATTCCTACTGGAAACACTATTTCGAGATCGTTAAAAACTTAAATGAATGATGTGTCCAGTATTGGGCGTGTACGCGTATGTAAATATATCAGACCTAAGGCGACTAAAGTTTTATTAAATAATTATTTGCATTCTATCTTGTGTAATTTTCAATTCTTTTACTGCGAAGTATTTAGATTTGAATGACAGATCAAAACAACTGAGAAGCATATTTTTCATTCGATTCAGTTAACCTGCATGAAAGAAGGGGCTCGTTAAAGTTCATGCGAGTACACGACACCCTTTCCAGACGCATTGTCCAAGAATGTACAAAGAGGAATTAACGCGAACCAGAACGAGAATTGAGAGGTCACTAATCGTAATTCCTCGAGACCTTGGAATTCACTAGGGATATCGATATATAGTATAGGAAAGGAAGTTATTGGACGAAACTTTTCGGTAGGTCTAAACGAACCTATGGCGATCTACAAATATCATCTGGTCATCAAAAAAAATATATACATTTGCCCCATCGAATAAGCACGCCTTGAGCTTGATGAAAAATTAGAAGAAAAAAAAAGACTTAACACTCGGTTAGAATTACAACGATGTTAGGTTCACGCCAATGTTTTTTTTTTCGATGCCCGACATCTCATTGGATATCCAAACATAGCTTCTATTTACTCGGATCACACCTTTGTAATTCTAATGAAAGGATGTTGGATGTTTTTTTCTTTACGTGATGTTTAGCATGGCTCTGGTGGTGAAACTGAAAAATACAAAATGTCGATATTGGTTTTTGAAATCCATTATGTGAGCGGTGAATCATTTCCTTTGTTTCCAGAGGCAAATATGGCTGATATTCACGCAAACTACCCAGCTGCGTAGAATGAGTATAATTCCGGGTAGGACGCGTGACGTCACACATGTCATTTTCAGTTTATTTTGGTTATTTATAACCCCTTTCAGTTCAGAATACAGGTGAAGTGTTTCGGACCACTTTGGCAGCGTTCCCTGCAAATTATCGCCTCACTAAGCTTGCAAAAGCGTTTTAATTGTTCCCTTTGAAGATCTAAAATGGTCCTTGCTTTGCTCAGAAAATCACCAGAGGTAAGACTGGCCAGTTTTTATCAATTTTCAAACCATACACATTTGCGATTATCAGGAAATGTCGTTCCGTGCAATTCTACACGTACAAGAGGTCTTTCAAATGGGCTTATCGATAAGAGAAAAAGATGGGCTCAGGGATCTTCTCGACGCTAAAGGAATTGGTCTTGCATTTTTTTGTGAAACTGGTGGAAGAAACAGCCACAACAGCAGCAGATTTTTTCGTTGCCACTGAAAATTTCGTAGTTTGCACTACGGGTGTGAATTCATTAATACGAAAATTTCATTCCACTGACAAAATGAATGTCGCGCAAAACGTTTCATTCGCAAAGCTTTACATCAAACAGATCTGAGTTTTTCCGCAGTCTCATCATATTCCAATGTTATTAAGAAAGTTACTGATTTAAAGAGGAAAATATTTTTTAAACGTTGAAAACCTTGCTAAAGATAATTAAAGGAACAACTTTATGTAGATTATCTTCTTAAAGCTAGCCAGACGGCTGGGCTTTGACATTTCATTTGAATTTTAAAACAACACTGCTAAATTATGTGAAAACGCAAAAAGCAATAAATGACAGTTTTACGACACAGCAAACCATTCACCAATTCTTTTGCTGTAAACAATTCTGATGAGCAGAAATTCAGTAAAGCTTCGTTGCACGGAAAGGGGTCAGGACCTGCGATTTACATCAGAACTGCTATGTAGAACATAGCAGTTCTGATGTAAGATTATACTTTACGTAAGACGTACTAGGTCGATAGCCGAAAAGCAACAAAAAATGGAATTCGTGTCAATTTAACTTACGAAAGATTCTCTGTTGCCAAGTGGCAAAAATTTGTTTAGTTTATTCCTTATTCCTAACTTCCTGTTCGCAGCTGACACCTCTATTCGTGATTATTGGCGCTGGCTGTGCTGGAGCTGTGGCTTTTACGATCAGACAGGCAACGAAAAACCCTGAGGCAAGGTATGTTTTAACTTAGAAAATTAAATGAGAAAAGTCGATTGATTATTGGGGCATGAAATGAAAAAGGTCCATTAAAAAAGTACGAGAAAACCCATTTCAAAGGCAACCTTGTATCTAAGCAGAAGTGTTCTACGGATTAAAACCTCTTTCGAAAACGAGTTGATTCTAATATGTTGTGCTCTTGGTTCACTTTTCTCTGACGGGGTAACATATTTAACGTCAATTAATGCAATAATTTGTAATTGTCGCAGAGCAATGTAATTTGATGCTTATTTTGTCTCCTTGCATGAGGTGACGCATGTAATTTGGGACTCCTGATCAAATATCTGAACAGGAAGAAAAAAATACAATTCTCTTAGTCATAAATAATTTTCCTCCTTCAGCTCACGTACTTAATGTCTTCTTCGTCCAACTCACGACCGTATTGATCAATTTAAGTCTGAACATCAACTGAACAATTCTGTTTTCTCCAATGGTCTGCTTCTTAATTTGACTGACTCCATTATCATGCTAACTCAAAAGCAAAGATTATCTCTATGACAGTTAATTGTGACTCAATATGACTTAATCGTCACTCCAGTTGTCACGGACTTGCCTTGACTTTAATACTGAAGAGATTGAAGAGTCCAAAGGGATCTTGAAAGCGAAATTCGCTTGAAGTCTACAGTTTACCCCTCTTTTTGTCCTGATCGATCTCAGAGATCAAACTTCGTCGTACATGAGTGCAGATTGATTACTCTTTCATCTGTGGCATGTCACACGGCGTTTTGTTTTGACAGTCATTGTACACCTTCTCACTTGACTTCTTGATCGCTGATCAACTTGTGATTTACGGATGATGTAATTTTTCTTTTCTTCCTAAGATTCTAAACAAAATTTTTTTTCACTAAACTTCCTTATGATTTTGCAAAAGCAAAAACGAGTATTTTTTGTCAATCGAAAAAATGCCACATCGCCACATATTTACATAAAGCTTTGTCTGTAATAAGTGTCTAATGAAATATTACTGAGGAATTGGGAAGATAGTTTTTTTTCCTAGATTCTTTCATTTCTTTCGAATATTATATAACAAAAGAGAGCAAGTTTTCTCTCGTGAGGGGTGCAGAACCTGTTAATTGCCCATCACGCTACTTCTGTGGAAATTTTCGATATTTTTCTCATGTCAGTCTACACGATAAGTTCCAAAATGATCTTTAGCTTTCAAACGGGAGCGTTACTTTGCAGGAGCTAGGCGCAAATGGTGAATTCGCTGGAAGGAGGGAGACATTTTATTGTCGAAATAAAAGGGGAGTAAGACATGAGAGCGGGTATAGGAAAGATTGGCCTTGTAAGGGACGGTTTATATTGATGCAATTTGTAAGCAAAATTACCTCACTTTATGTAACAAACACCTCAGACCTGAATGCGCAACTCGGGTAACCAAATGTGTTTTAAGTTATTCTTGCAGGATAACCTGCGATTGGGTGTTTTTCTCCGTAACCAGCAGCGTCTAATTTGTCGGCGTTCTCGCCGCTGCGTTTTGCAGTCACACCGAAAAAGAAATGCATGTTTGAATATGTGTGTATTACCTTGCCTTTCTGATCTTCTCTCTGAACTAGCTCGGTGTCTTTTCTTTACAGCTGGGACAAGAAGAATAACCCTCATCCTTGGCTCAATGTCAAGCATGATGAACAACTCAAGGTGAGCATTTACAGTAGTTTTACAATTTCCCATCTCGACAAAGTGTTTCTCAATTCTTAGTAAATGCCCTAAATGGGGAATCACAAAAGTTTACAGAACCATATCATCAATTAAAAATTTTTTTTTCAATTCTGCAGCTGAAACAAACATTTTAATTTTTCCAACAGCTTTACAGTCATACAGATTACTCAAAGCTTCAAAAAGCCCGACCAGATGCGGAAGTGTAATGAGCCTTGGAGTGTATGGAAAAGATTACCAGGGAGTCAGAATAAGGCCCACTGGGTTTGCATTTGATAAGAACTCTTATTAATAGTAAATTATCACATGATATAAGATACTTAACACCTAGCAAACACATGGTAGCTTCAAGAGATGTACTTTTCATTATAAATCTTAAGATGTTATTTTTCTTTGAACTGTTCTAACCAATCTACAAAAGCATTAACATTTCAAATGAGATTCAAATATTGACATGACAAACATAGTTTGAAAGTATTTAATCTGTGTAAGCCCTTGCTCTTGGCTGAACTTTGAAAATAAATTTTTCATTTTGACGAAACATAGTTCTGTTAATTTCCATTAAAAAAATGTGTGTTCCCATTAATGTTTAGACAAACACAACATATTCAATTTTACCTCCACAAGAAAACTCGTTAAATCCTTTTTTAAGTTCCTAAATTGGTATCAGTACTGTACTTGTTTCATTAAATATGCTTAACAAAAACTTTTAGGTAAAAGTAAAAGACTAGAAACGTAAAGGTCTCCACCTTTGGGGAGTGCTCTCACATTTGAGGTGACAGGAAAAAAGGGAAAGTCTTCTGTGTTTGAATTTTTTGACTGATAATTCATTGGACGAGTCTTGCCATTATAATTACTGAGTCCCTCCCTAAGGAGTTCCTTTCAACTGACGCTCTGCACACGAGTGGTATGCAGTAATCATGAACCAGAAACATACGTGAACACTTCATACTATTGTAGTTATAAGTCAGTTTGCACATTATGGTAGAACTCGACAATGAGATCTGTTACGTTATAAGCCATTTTGAACAACGTGCTCCGTGTGCAATACGCCTCCGTATTTAGTGGCCTTTTGGGGCGCTTTACATCTGAAAAAAAGGGCGGAGTTGCTGCGACGCTTTTTTCAAATTGCCAATTTTTTCGTTCTAAGCCTGGCACAGCTTCACTGGCGCTCGATTATCGCTTTTAAGTGCACAGAAAACCGCTAACTACGCAGGCACGTGCATGGCTACAGTACTGCTACTTAGATTTAAGCTCGCTTCATCATTCTATGCCATAGTTCTGTTGCCTGTGCAGACTGGCCAAGTTGATTTCTCTATATATATATATATATATATATTTAAGGTAAAATAGTCCATGCCTTTTCTGAAAACATGTCGTGATTGCACTTCAGAATTTTAAAAAGAAAATAAAGCTAAATAAAAATACGTTATGTATATTTTCCTTGATTGCAGCATTGATAGTCTAGATTTTCTCAGTCTCTTTATTTGTTAATGTAGCTAAAGACTGTTGCCCTAAGAATTTCGCCGTATTGTACTCCGTAACTGTGACGCAATATTTTGCTTAGCCACCAAGCCTTTAAGGGTCCGGTTTCGTGAGAACGCCATCTTGGAAGAGCCTAAGCGAATCTAGCTTAACATCGTTTTTCTACTGTTTCGACCAAGTAACGGCTAAAATGGTTTTTACTTATCTGAGAAAACACCCCGAGGTATGATTATGGTTTTAAGCTGGACTAAGTTATCCTAAAGTATTGGCTGGGTGTTTGTTTGATTGGGGTTAGTGTAAGGTTCATGTAGCTTCTAGAGTTGAGTTAATTTTAGAATGTGCGTATCGATACGTAGTTGAGCTTACCTCTGTATTTGTGCGATTCCTTCGTCACTTTGATCTTTCAAATAATGAACTACCGTTTTTTGTTAAAGAAACCTTTCAGGTCGTCATAAAAAAGATATAAAAGCAATGCTAAGATTATTGTATTGTAATTAATATTGACAGTGACGTATTATGTATTGTGCTTATTTACTTGACAAAGATCACGGGTAAAACTACTGAAACAAATGCAGAATTGTACCTCTGAAAAACGGAGGTAGATTGAGAATTCAAAAATGAGATATATATATATTTTTTTTTTTTTTTTCAAATTAAGAAATGTTTTATGGTAAGGAAATGGAATGGTTTAAAAAATGTGATGGAGTGGTAAAAGTTTCTTATTTTATCTTTACCTTGAGCTCTGTGGATGGTAAGCTTTCTCTTTTGGGGTTAGGGATATCGTCTGAAACAGCTAAAAACAATCAGGAACTAAAGGACACTTAAAAAATTGCTGTAAAAAATTTTATCCCTGCAGATTTCATTTTTCAAAGGGTACCAAATGAAAATTGAGGATCTTTAACGCCTTAACTCCCAGAAGAGATTAATATTTACCTTTTCCCTGTAATATCCCTACATTATCCAGCAAACAGATGATGAGAATACTCATACTAGCAAGTAGAAGTTGTTAAATTGCTTTTACAGCAAATTCTTTTCACTTATATAAAAGGAAATGTATAGCAGCTTGAGGGGAGATTTAACAATCAGATCAGTTATGTCCCTGGGCTAGAGTCCCTTTTGTCTTGGGTCGAAAATTCGCCATTGCAGTGTCTCTGTCATTTATCACTTTATCTTTTAATTTTTTTTCAGTTGGTTCCACTCTTTGTTGTGGTTGGCGCTGGTTGTGTTGGAGCTGGTTATTACTTAATGCGACTGGCTCTTAAAAACCCAGATGCAACGTATGTACATGAAAGATTAATAGACTTAAACAAGTGATTTAGGTAATACCTTTGCACTGAAGGTAATCTTCCCCTACAAATGTGATCCTTGAGGCTTTAAGTTAATATATGATTGATAAGATAACTTGAATTCTTGCCCAAGACACCTGTCTGATGAGTCTATATTTGCTGTAAAAAAAAAGATTAGCTTTATCCCCTTGTCTAGACCATCACTACTTTATAAACTTTTGTATCCAAGTTCAAAGCTCTGTTATTTTCATGTATTACTTTACCAGCAGAGAATTCTTTAACCCTTTAAACTCTTAGAGTGACCAGCATCTAATCTCTAATAACAATAATTCTGCTGAATCAATCATTAAGATCACAAGGATAAAGGAAATGATTGCTAACCTGAGAAGCTTTGATTGTTAAACAAATTCTCCTCGAAAGCACCCAAGAAAATGTATAGAGAAGAGTATGGAGAGAATGGATACTGATGTTAGGGTGTAAATAGTTAAGTTAGAAACATAACTAAAACAAGTTCCAAATTTTCTTTTCGCAACTCATGATATGACCTTTTCAGCTTCTAAAAGTGTCGAATGTGTTTAGTGAGAAGTCTCCTAACCGAAAAATTTCTGTGTTAATAGGCAGATTTTTCAAAAGTTGTCTGTTAACAGAATTGTCTTTAAGTTGAATGTGACCAAAGGCATTTCACAATATCTCAAAGCAAGATAAATTTCTCAATACTTTGGACCTGAATTCCTACCTTAACCTAGTTTAGAAAGTCTTTCTGTGAGTCTGTTAGTGTTGACCTTTTTCACATTTTAGTATTATTATATTTTGAACTTATTGTGTGGTTTACATGGTAGCTGGGACAGGAAGAACAATCCATATCCATGGCAAAAGATAAAGCATGACCAATGCTTGAAGGTTTGTTTGTTTGTTTTTTTTTGTGGTGTATTTTTATCCTCTTAGAGATATTTTTTTACAAAGCACAAATAAACCCCAATTATATTCAAGGCAAAAATAATCTGATAACCTTACCTTGTATGATTTTTATTTTTGTAGTTTTACACCCATACTGACTACAGCACGCTGGAAAATAAGAGACCAAACATTGATTGAAGGATAAGTGGTATCAATTGACTGACAGCACTAGTACCACTGCTGATGATTTGCAGCTTGCCTATCTTACTCATAAATGTGGATACTTGATAAACATTACTATATTGTTTGTGTTGTTGCATGGTTATGCTTTCAATAAAATGGCTTCTTTCTTTAATGAGTACACAGAAAATTCTGTAGGATCATGGTAACCCATGAAACAGTCCAAAATTGTTTTCAGGAGTGAAGTCCTCAAAAAAAGAACAGACAGAAAAACACATGTGGGTTATGTGACAGGAATTAAATGACAAGCTGGGTTTACAATAAGCTGAATCCTATAAAAACATTTTGATTGGCTTATGCCTATGATCGATTGTAGGAAAAATGCATAGATGCCATCACCATTAACAACATTTTGCTTTTTTAACCAATAGATTCCATGTTGATGTGGGTCTGTACAATAAGAGATTGCAGAAGATGTCAAAATGTGTTAAAAACATCATTGACACACTTGGCTTTGCCTTAAGTGCCTCGTTTTTGTTCTCACCACATTTTGGCATTATTAATTTTGTGATCTATTACTGACAGATTGACTTTGTGGGTTGGTGTATATGAAAGCAACAAGGCAAATTATGATTAAGCTTAACCATCATAAACAACAACCTTTAGAAAAATCCAAGAAATAATTTTATTTGCAAAACTGTGCCACGGTATGGGAAAGTCCCTTTTAGCTTCAACTGGTAGTAGCCTATCTACACCAGTTACCCGAACCTTCTGTTGTATTAATCATGGGAAGAAAAATTAACCCCATATCCTCCCAATGGCTCTGTCTTGAAACATGGGTAGCTCCTTGCATCCTTGCAACTTTTCCTTGGAAACATTTTGATTGAGAAGAAATTCAGACAATGAAAGACAAAAAGAGGAAGAAAAAAATAGAAACAAGGATCTAAAAGAAAGATTGGTTAACCTGAGTTTTAATTGATTCAAAATTCTGATTTACATGTACATATATTTTGTGTGTATGTCTAAAATACGGGTTGAAATGCATGCCTTTAGTTAAAAAGATATGAAGGTTTGTGGGTTGGATGCAAAGGCTCTAAAATTTCAACTTTCCATCAGAGAAATCACAGGCTTATATAAACACAATGGACATGTTATGAAGAAGCTTTTTCCTTAAAGAAAATTTTCGGTTGTGTCCTCATGTACCAGTACACAAAGGTAAGAAACATTAACGAACTGCAACACAACTCCATGTATGGATATGAAAACAATAGGAATTCCCCCGTGTACTGGTAAATTTTCAGTCACTGTGATAAATATTTTTCTTTGTATAGTAATATATCGGAGAAATCCTGGGCTTATGTAAACACAAAAGACATGTTATGGAGAAGCTTTTTCCTTAAAGAAAATTTTCAGCCACTCTGATAAATATTTTTGTATAGTGATAAAAACAAACCAGTTTAAAGAAAACTGCAAACCAGGAAAAAATTTTGAACCATAACTGAAAACTTCATCTATTTATACAACCTGGGAGAAAAAGTCCCAATTGGCAGGGTACACCTCTCGTCAAAGTTAGAGGAGACAAGAGGCAGTGTGGGTATATCTTCACAAGTGCAAATGTTTGGAAGCCTCCTTAAAGCTCAAGCCACTTAATTCCCCCTTGTGCTTCAGTAGATACTTCTTGACCTTGGAACCAGAAGTCCGAGCGTACTGTCTTAGGGCCCATCCAATTGCCTTTCGGATGAAAAATTCTTCCTCGGCTGCCCTTAGATTGCAGAAGCGGAACAGCATCTCCTCGTCAGTTTCCTCTTTGTAAGAAAGCTGATGAAGTATGGCGGTTCTTCTGAGCCACATGTTTTCATGATTGATCCATTCTTCCATGATAACTTTTCCTAAATCTCGATGTTGTTTCACGAGTTGCCCAACCATCTTAGACGCTAGCGCATCAACAGTGTCCCACCAAGATTTGTTCGTGATCAAATCTTTCATGCACTGGATGTTCTCTTCAAAGTCTTTGGAAGATTCTAAGTGCTTCTCGAGGTAATCGATGGCAAAGTACTGGAATTCTCGCTCCGGTTTTGTCCATAAAAGCCGCACGAAGTCTCTCGTGTCGCCTGAGTTCAATTTTTCTTTCAATAATTCCTTACAAACGCTCCTCCTTACAGGGCTGCTAAGACCTAAAAACTCGAACTTATCCCTCAGGTATTTCTTCATGGGTTGACTTTTCTTGTGATCTGCATTCTTGTGCAGTTCGCGAGCTACTTTCTCTACCAAGGTTTTCACCTCGTTTCCCGCTGTTTGGTCGACATCTTCAACTTTCCCTCGCTTTTTCAACGATCCGGTTTTAGATGAAGCTCTTCTTTTACTCATTGCAGTGAAGTTATGTCTATGAAAAGTTGCAAATAAACACAAGTCAATTACCTTACGAAGCTCGTATCTCACAAAACAGATACTTTTGTGCATTTCATTACTTATACCACCCTTTCGAAAAAGTCACGATAGTCGGTGTATCAGTCACGCAATTACTCTTGACACTTCATGAGATATATTTGAAGTCCGTTTTGTTCAGCGCATGGCACACTGGCATTACAATTTCCTCGTGGCCACGGAACGATGAATCGCTGATTGATTGAATGAATACGTTGTTTGTCTTCCGAAGGTTATTTTCGAAGACGCAATTTTTTGCAAGAAATCCAAGCCAAGGATATATCTTCGGGCTAGATAGTCGCAGAAATATCTTTCAGCCTCTTAGATCGCTTGAGTGGGGTTTAGAACACTTCTCAAAGTCAATAATTTTTGTGGGAATAAAAACAATGTCTGCCGACAACGCCGAAAATTCAACCATTCTGGAGAATCTACGAAAATCCTTGAAGGAGCAGGTTTGTAGTGAGAGCTAGTCAATGTTTAGAAGGAAAATTTTGAATCACAGTACAGTTGTTCTGGTTGGGTACACATCTTTAGTAACGTAATGTTGTTCTATTTCCATATTTGACCATATTCGGAAATTTGAACGGAAGTAGATCCTTGGAAACACTGAAAGATGTTTATAGGTATTTGATTTGAATATTTAATTCTCAGTTTGGGTTCTTTCCAATTTTTTTGAAGCGTGATGAACTGATTTTGTGGATCTGAGCATCAAATTCTGATAAGCACTCAGTTCAGTGATATGTTACAAGTCTTGCTTATTGCATTATCCCCCCAAAAAATTTTCCTTCTCTTGATCCGACAGCTACTTCTCACTGATAGCCCACACATCTCTCTTCTTGTCGTTTGTAAGGAAGTGTGATTCTATGAAGGCATACTTACCAGTTGATTTGTAAACAAATTTGTGGAGGAACCATATCATTTCAAGCCATTTTTTATGCCAGTCAACTCTGGCTGTGTGAGATACTGTTTTGTAAATTGTAGTGTAAGTCTTTGTTCAGTTGCTGGCCCTTACTTTTATCCCCTCAGTCAGAAGAAGATGTTTGTTTTTATTCCTACTAGCTGACTTTCAATTTCTTGGAGTGTTCATCTCCCCCCATAGAATGCTACTAAATTCTCTAACCCTTTAACTCCTAAGATCTGACTGTTAATTCTCCCCTTTAGCTGCTATATATTTCCTTTTAAATAAGTTACGAGAATTTGGTGTCAGATGGAGATAACTTTGACCTGATAACTTTGAATATTCTCATGACCTGTTTGCTTGATAATGTTCAGTTATTATAGGGAGAAGTTACTTGTTAATCACTTCTGGGATTTAAAGGGTTAACAAGTAGATGGTTAGAAATATGTCACCAAACAGGTTATCTTTTAGCAAGGGAATTATCTTCATATATAGCATGAAGCCAGATAAAGGTTGATTTAGTTTACAGCCTGTCATTAATTTATTTATTTTTCCCTCAAGACAAACAGAAAACTTGATTACAAACAATAGAGTAGGAGACAAGGGAGGTGAATGTGATGTATTTTTCCACAGCTAGGTCGATTTCCCTGTCAGATTACCTTGAACTACAAATTTATTTCAATTTCTTGCCATTTAAAGGATATTTATCCATTGCCAAACTCCAATTAGAGGGGTGTTTTACGCTGTAGGGGTATATCAGCTGATATTGTACCACCCCCCTCCCCATCTGTGCTACATAATGTGTATTAGCACCAAATGAGGTTGGAAAGAAATTACTGGTATAATTATGCCTGGGTTAAAATTTATCACATGGCTGTGGATGCATTATACATTTTTGCAATTGGTCTCATGGTTTATTTATTTGCTCTAGGGTGACTTGGTAAGAAAACTAAAAGCTGAAAATGCTCCAGCACCAGACCTTGAAGTTGCCATCAAGGAGCTTAAAGTTAGGAAAAAGGCCTTTGAGACCAAGGTATGAGTACAACTTGAGAATTTATTTTTGAGTTTTTTTCTGATGTATCATTGACGTATTCATTGCTTACCTTGTCTAAGAGTGACCAGCATCTTATTTCTCCTCATAGTATCACCCTGAATCATATATTAAGGTGATGAGAATAAAGGAAGTGATCTCTAACTAAAGATATTATTGATTGTGAATGAAATTCTCCTTGTCAGCACCTTAGGAAATGTATAGAGAACAGTATGGAGAATATGCATGCTGATGTTAGGGCATAAAAATTGTTTTCTCCCTTTCCTATTTTCCATTAGCTACTCTTGAGATGAACATGGATATTTTCTTCATAACTTCAATTTCTCCCATCATATTTCAATATATTTTGTTTTAGTTGTGAATGTTGTTTTAATTATTATTTAAACTGTGATCACTTTCTTATTCTCTTTATGCCTGAAAAATAAAAATGAAATCTCTTTCTTTCAGGAAAAAGAAATGGCACCCAAGCAAGAAAAATTTGAGAGATCAAAATTGGAGGACTTGCTAAAGAGGCGATTCTTTTTTGTCCCTTCATTTGAAATCTATGGAGGTAAGTTGACAATTTGACTGATGGCAGTGTTTAATATATCTGGAGATAAGATAACACAGAATTTCCATATATTCTTGAATAATGTTGTGAATACTATGAACTCTAACTTACACCTTGAAGATGGAATGAACTTTTAGTACAACTATTGATTAATAGCAGTGTTGATCTTGCTCTCAAGAAATCAGATGAAGCCCATAAAAAGTCATTTATATTACCTTTGTACACAAAGACACTATGGTCAAGTATGTATGGGTGCTGATTTGTGAAGCTCTTTTGTCCAAATCATGTACTCTTCCTCTGAGTTGATCTTGTTTGACAGTGATCTTGAGTTAAACTCCTCTGATGTGTTTTACTCCATTTTTTCATTTATCCTTAATAGGCACAGAGGTGCCAATAAAGGACATGAACAGTCTGAGTTAGCACTTTATCCTTTGACTCACATGAGTGATCAAAACAGAATTTCTCCTTGTAATATTACTGCAATATCAAACAGACAAGTGATAAGAATAAAGGAAAACGTCAATTAGGTGATTATTAGTTGATCCAACATCAAAGTCTCCAAACTGATAATACTACAAGTATCATGTGATGGCAGTAAGCAGAAACACTATTGAGGTCTAGGGGATGAAAAGTTAAACTTTCAGGAGTGACTAGGAAGGAATATCTTCTAAAAATTTTAATACACTTTCAAGAAAAAAAGAAAATTAGGGAAATATAGATCCCAAGCTGGGGATATTGCTTGATTCAATACAAAATTCTCAGAATGAAAAAATGGTAAAGAATATACAACAGTGCTGAGAACCTTTTTTTTTTTGATCATGGTGAAGAGAAAAGGTCAGTTTGGCTATTTCAAAATTATCTTTCTTTCTTTGCATGGCAGGTGTGGCAGGGTTGTATGATTATGGACCCTCTGGTTGTGCTATGGAAGCCAACATGATAAACATTTGGAAATCACATTTTGTTTTGGAAGAGCAAATGTTGGAAATAAGAGCTTCTCTTCTGACACCTCATTCAGTTCTTAAGTGAGTAAACTGTTGACGACAGTTAACAAAGTCTGAGATGAGTTGGGGTTTCTCAATATGCATTATAATTTTTTCAAGTGTCTCTTACAGGTTTCTTGAAGTTGTGACCCTAGAAAAATTTATTATGAACCTTTATTTCACCTACACAACTTCTTTATTTATATTACACCTTAACACCAACATGCGCATTCTCTATACTGCTCTCTTTTCATTTCCTAAGGTGCTGACAAGGAGAATTTGTTTAACAGTCAAAAGCTTCTTTAGTTGGTGATCATTTCCTTTATTCTGGTGGCTTTAATGTTTGATTCAGGGGTGATATTGTTAGGAGAAATTGGATGCTAATCACTTTGAGGGGTCAAAGGGCTGAGTGTCTCTTACAGGTTTCATGAAGTTACGATTCTAAATAAATTTACTTTGGAACTGATTTCACCCACACAATTTCCTTATCAACTTAAAGTAATGATGTAGTTTTGATTTTTTTTTCTATTTTTTTTGTTTTAGAACATCAGGGCATGTTGACAGGTTTGCTGATTTCATGGTGAAGGACATCAAGACTGGGGATTGTTACAGAGCCGATCATCTATTGGAAGGTCTGCTTAGAGGGGGGAGCAATTACATAGATTTACATCTTAAATATAGCTAACAAATGGGGAGATAAAATGTATTAACTGTCAGCATGCAGGATTGTAGGTCAAGATGGCAAGGTTTGAGATCCGTGTGGGTCATTGTGATGTATTCTTGGGCAAGACACTTCCCTTTCACAATGCCACTCTCCACTCAGGAGTGTAAATGGTTATAAACTGGGTTAGATTTCGGCACTGTGGGACCACATGGCTCCAGTGCTGACTTATGTAAACAATTTTCTTTTAATGTGGTGCATAGATATCCATCACTTGTAAGGGGAAAAAACACTTTTTCTTGCATATTTTGTATCATATACTTCCTTCTGTCTCACATATTCTTCCTTCCTTCCCTCATATTTTGCATCTCATCCTTCCTTGACACTTCATGCTTCAGAAACTGGGACAGGCCTCTACACTGTAGGTGTTGACTTTTATAAACAAACTTCTTGTGTGAAGCTCTTTTCTCAAATATTTTGCAACATATCCTTCCTTCCTTCCTTCACACTTATTTTGTATCTCATCTTTCCTTGGCACCTCATGCTGCAGAAACTGAGATAGCCTTTGGCACTGTGGGGCTACATGACTTAAGTGCTGACTTTTGAAATGTAAATGTATTTCTTTTAATGTGGTGTATAGATGTCCATCACTCGTAAGGGGGAGAAGCTCTTTCTCGCATATTTTTAGTTTGATTGATTTCGGCTTCTTGTTTGTTTATTTATTGAAGGACACCTTGAAAAACTGTTAGCAGATAAAAAACTGGAGGAAGAGAAGAGACAAGAGTATGAAAGTGTTATTGGCCAGGTAATGTGATTTTTTTTAAAGATAAGTAAGTAGGGAATTCATCAAGGTGTTATTAATGTGATACAGAGCCTACAGAAGGTGTGAGATGTTTTTGAGCAGAGGCAAGCACCAAGGGGGTAAAGTCATATTGAGTGAGGTTGTCTTTTTTTCTACTTAGGTAGATAACTATGGGATGAAAGAACTTGGGGAGCTTTTGAAAAAGTACAACACCAAGTCTCCAGTAACAGGGAATGATCTGACTGATCCTGTGGAATTCAATTTGATGTTTTCAACCTCAATTGGTCCGAGTGGGCTCATCCCTGGGTAAGAGCCATCTTAGCATGGGGTGATTACTTTTTTTCTAATCTTTGAAATTACATACAAGGTACAGCTCCATGTAATACAGTTTAAATACTACTTATAATACTACAGCAAATATGAATACTAACACTACCTACAAAAAACTTATTACTTAACAATTGCAGATTTAAAAGTTACAGTTTCATTGTACAGACATGTAAATTATCTGTATTTAAAAAACATATTACAGTAAAGTAATTAATATCATTAACTACAAAAGCTAAAGGAAACAAACACTAAATGAGATAAAAAAAAGAAAAATATGCAACTACATGGCTTTTTTCTAAAAAGAGAGAGGAAAGAGGCTCAAGAGACAATTTACGAGACATTAATAGAGATTATGAAGAAAGAGGAAAACTGTGAACTGGGGGCCCTATTCAGACGGTCCAGATCTCTTTCAATACCCGTTTTTATTATGGGATTGCTTTTGTCTCTGCATCTGATCAGTTAAAATGGTGTTGTGGAATTTGTCAGACCAAACGCAAAACGTGGTGAAGTAAAATCTATTTCGGATTTCTTTTGATACCCAATTGAAAATGTCTTCTATGGTTTGTTCTTATTTGAACAGCTTCCTTAGACCAGAAACAGCTCAAGGAATCTTTGTGAATTTCAAACGCCTCTTGGAAGCTAATAATGGAAGACTACCATTCGCCTCAGCACAGATTGGACCTGCCTTTAGAAATGAAATATCACCTCGATCGGGTCTTCTGAGAGTAAGGTAAAGAACTTTTAAGTACATCTGTTCAGGTGATTGTCCTTAACCCTTTACCTCACAGAAGTGATTAACAGTAACTTCCCCTTGTAACATCCACACAATGAGACATGGTTTGATGCAACTCTGGTTTACAGATTTAATGAATGTAACTGAAGAAGTTATAGTTCATAGACCCAACGTTTCAACACTCCTGTCTAGTGCCTTCATCAGGGGTGATCTAAACGCTACCACAAGAGGTCCTTAAAATGTCTTGCAAACACATAATGGGAGTATCAGGAGGAAGTTGTTTTCTCGATCAAACACCAAATTCTTGAAACAAATTTGCAAGGCAATGTGTAGAATCTAGAGGGGAGAATTAACAATCAGATCTTGGTAGTGAAAGGGTTAATAACGAAGTAAGAATAGTTTAAGATCACAATACTACACTCGCTCGCAGAAAGTAATAAACTGCAATGCTTTAAATGGTCAATCGTTCCCTTTGATACAAATTTTAACCTCAGCGATGGCCTTCCTGCGTTTATCCAAAATGCCACTCCCTCTGTTAATTGAGGTTACAGTTTTAGTTTCAGCGTAAGACTGGAGTGATTCATTTTGCGATTATCTCTTACAATACTGAATGGCTTAGGACCTCAGTTGAAAAACTTCTGCTGAACTCTTGGACCTCCTGTTTGACTCAGTAGGTTAGCCACTTTTCCATCATCCAATCTGACTGCTCTGGACCCTCTTTTAACATTCTGTTAAGGTCGCGAGAATAAAGGACGTGATCAACAACCTGAGGAGCTCTTGATTATTACAAAAATTCTCATTTTAAAGACCTTACGAAATGTATAGAGAACAGTATGGAGAATATGCATACTGATGTTAGGTTGTATAGGGGTTAAGGATGTCTTTTATGATTAATAAGTCATTTTGTCAATCAACCCAGTAATGATGTAAAAAATGTATAATATTCATCATCATCATCATGGTTTGCTTCTACTTTTTTTTTTATGTAGAGAATTCACCCTGGCTGAAATCGAACACTTTGTTGATCCAAGCGACAAGAGTCATCCCAAGTTTGAAAATGTGAGCTCTCAAACACTGAGGTTGTTTCCATCAGAACATCAGATTGAGGGAAAACCGCCACTGGAGATCACTGTAGGAGATGCTGTCAATCAGGTGAGCGGTTCATTGCCTCCAAGCAAGAATGCTTTTTTCTTTCTTTTATTTGTAGATGCATGGTTGTTTTTGCGATGTAATGCTTTGTAAGAAATCACTCGAGTTAGATTTCGGGTTCGCTGGGCGGCTGCTCGAAATGTTTGTTTTCATGAGTCAAACATTTCCCAAACGGAAGGCCGCCACCTCTTCATTCTCCGCTTTTTGCCCTTGTACTGAGGACAGTTCTTGTACTAAAACATGTTTGATTTGTCATCAGAAAATTGTTAGTTCCCAGACCATGGGTTACTTTCTCGGCCGCGTGTTCCTCTTCTTGCTGAAGGTTGGTGCTGATCCAAGTAAGATCCGCTTTAGGCAGCACATGTTCAATGAAATGGCGCATTACGCTTGTGACTGCTGGGACGCTGAACTCCTCACCTCCTATGTAAGTAGTGCAAACTTTTTCTTGTTCTCAGGTTACGTAACTCACAGTAGGGTATACATGTACATTATAGACCGGTAATTGAGCAATTTTCAATTGAGTGTCGTCAAAAGCAATTCGGGATTGCTTTGTTTTTGCTTTACTTCGCTATGTGATTGGTGCAGAAAACTCGCGCCCTTCTCTCAACCAATCAGATGTAAAACTAAAACCAATGTCAACTTGGTCGCCCGCGTTTTCCCGCGCTTGGGTTGTGTGGTTGTTTTGGTCTCATCAACTCTTAAAGATATTTTCCTTTTTTGTAACAGGCCTTTGTGATTATTTTGGTTTTGGTTTGACGACACTCGATCGAATTGCGCTCTTTAAGAAACGAATCGTGATCTGCTTTGTTCTCATTGGTCGATGATGACGCGCTCTTACCTCCGCAAGGAGACGGATGCTGTCTGGTTCATGAACTGGCTTACGTGGAGCTAAGAAAAATGGCCCATTGTTTTCTAACGTTTCAACTGCAGACGAATAAACGATTGCTTGTTTTTGAGCGCAACAAGCGGAAATATGCTAAGTTAGTTGGCAAAACTGATGATTGAGTTGGTGTGCAGTAATTCAGGAAATAGCGAAGTTTTAAAAAGTTCGCAGTAATATTGTTGAACTAACGATGACGATTTTTCGTTTTTCCCCAGGGCTGGATAGAATGCGTTGGATGTGCTGACAGGGCCTGTTATGATCTGTCCGTTCACACAAAAGCAACCGGCGAGAGACTGGTCGCTCAAGTTGATTTGGAGCAATCGGTATCCTTAACTATTCAACACACTTTTATTCGCGTTCGTTAGTTACTTTGTACACGGAGGGCGTATCAGTCTCATTCGAATTCTGGTTTAACCGTCACTACCGGTTCTTTCGCGATTTTAAATTTTGCCTTTCTGACTCTTTAAATTTCATTCTAATATTGGCGCCCAAATGTCCTTAAAGGCGTTTTCTCCACTAGATTGTCGAAAGTAATACGGACCTTACTTTGCTCTGTAATTGGCTCAGAAAATTCGCGCCGTTCTATCATGAATTAGTCATTCACGTTTTTCCTGCTTCGAGCAGTTGTCTTGTTTTTACTTTTAGTTCTCATTGGCCCATCGTGATGGTTTGCTTTGGTCTGATTGGTCGTTTTGATAACTTTTGGATTTGGTTTAGCACGTTTAAAGCGCGGGAAATGTGAGTGGTCGAGCTATGGTGGTTGTAGTTTTGCATTTGATTGGTCGGTAGAGTGGTGCGACTTTTCTGGACCAATTATAGAGCGAAATGGAGTAAAAGCAATGGATTAATAGACTACTCTCCGAACTTGATTGAAAGTTGCTCCATCGATTGCAACAAGTTGGTGCCCGAAATTGAGTTAAAATTTTACAACCTTGACTAACTGTGTAAAGGAAATGATTGACGTGGTGGAAATCGTCCCAGAGAAGCCAGCAGTTGGAAAAGCGTTTAAAAAGGAAGGGAAAATTGTCATGGATTATCTGGCTCAGATGGATAAGGATGCTATCAAAGTATTCGAGGATAAACTTAACGAAAACGGGTAGGTAAAAAGGAAATAAAACCACGAGGCTTCATTCGCTAAACGTTCTTTAATACAACCTGATACACTAGAGTGACGGAAGCAACAGTATGACATGTAAGATAAATAGGCGAATATCTTACTTCCTGCCATCATTTCCGAGTTGTTTTTGTTTGTTTGTTTGTTTTTATTTCAACATATTTATCATTGTTTTCCCCAAAAGCACCAAGACTTAACGAGGGGGATTACAATATTACAAATATAAAATCAATTTATTCAGGCTCACACACAAACAGACACATAACCAACACACACAAGTTGCAATAACAACGAATTTAACTCACTAACCCAGGACCGTATTATTTAAACAATCAAACAATGGTCGATGACGGTTTTTGTTCATTTGAGTGGCAATATTAAGTTTAAGATTAAGATTTTTTGCTACAGGGTCCCTTGAAGGGTTGAGCTAAACGTTTCGTTTTTCTAAGTTTTTTGCGAGTCATTACGAAACGAAAAATCTGTCCGCGAATTCAACAGGTCATAGAAAAAACATCTTGTCCGCTCTTACCATTGAGCCCTTTACCCCTGAGATTGAGGAGCAT